GTCGAAAAGTGGGGGGGGGGGGGGGAAGCGTGGCTGTTTGCCCTGGAGCAAAATAACGCGTGGCTGCGCGATCAGACGTCTGGTTGAGGTCCCGTGGTAAGGGGGGAGGCGCCGATCACACCACAGGCGCAGCAAATGGGGTTGTGTTGTTTTTTTTAAACTGAAGTGTGCGCATGCTCCGTTGGGTGCTTGTGCGCATCCCATGGAGACTTGGGGGAAAAACCCTTTTTGCAAGGGGACATGGGCGGGCGCCAGATGCCACCGGAAACGCGATCAGACGCCCGCCCTTGCCCCGCGGTTTCTGGAAACTAGTACCTCGGAGGTACTAGTTTTTTACCCCGCATCTTCGGCGGGAAGCCTTGGGTGAGCCACGGGAGCTCTACGCTTCCCAGATGTGGCGGTGTGATCGTGCCCGGAAAATCCGCCTATCTTCTGTCTCTGTAGCATGGCTAATGCTCCGTGTGACCGCAGCCAGAGTTTGGCACTGGCTTCAGACTCCAACTCCAACTGAGGTTCTCAGCTTTCGTTTTAAAGAAATGTTGCCTTACTAGCCCTTTATGGTTGTGAAGATAGGTTTAAACATGGGGGCAATGCCTGGCAAAAAACCGAAAGGCAGAGAACGCAAAAGCAGGGACACATTTGTTTAATTTGCATAATGTATACAGTGCCAGAATTCAGGTGCAGTTGCTGCCAAATTTGGGTTATCTTTGCAACGAGTTCTGATTCAACTATTTATTCTACCGCAGTGCACGTGCATCACCCTCAGCAGAACGGCTTCTGTTTTCCTGATTCACTCAGCCAACTTTGAAGCTAGGGGTTGCCAGCCCTGGACTGGGACATTCCTGGAGATTTGGGGATGGAGCCTGGGGAGGGGGGGGTTTGGGGAGGGGAGGGATCTTAGCCGGGTACGACACCATAGACTCCAACCTCCAAAGGAGCCATTTTCTCTACGGAAATTGATTTGTGTCGTCCGGAGGTCAGTTGTCATTCTGGGGAATCTCCAGGACCCACCTGGAGGCTAGCAATCCTAAAGGTAAAAGGTAAAGGTTCCCTTGCTCCAAAGCCAGTCGAGTCCGACTCTAGGGTTGCGGTGCTCATCTCCGTTTCCAAGCCGAAGAGCCAGCACTGTCCGAAGACGTTTCCGTGGCCATGTGGCCGGCATGACTAAACACCAAGGTGCACGGAACGCTGTTCCCTTCCCACTGAAGTGGTACCTGTTTATCTACTTGCAATTTCTTGCTTTCGAACTGCTAGGTTGGCAGGAGCTGGAACTAGAGACGGGAGCTCCCTCCATCATGCGGCACCCGGGTCTCGAACTGCTGAACTACCGACCTTCCACCGCCTGCAGTTCAGCGTCTTAACCACTTGAGCCACCGCAGCTCTAGCAATCCTACAAAGCAGCCATTTTTCTCCAGGGGGAATTGACCTTTCTAGGCTATATATCCGTTCTAATTCCAGGAGATCTTCAGACCCCACCTGGAGGTTGGCAACCCTGTTTGAAACTTCCACTGGCACTCCTCCGAGGGACTCATGGCACACGAACGGCCTTTATGGCTGAGAATTATGGGGGTGCTTGGGACTCTCCTACATATTCCGCATGCTGCTCAGTTGCTCCCATAGCAACCCTCCCTTCCTCATTGTGTGCAAAGGGAGCCAGTTCATGCACTCCCATGTTAAGTAACTGGAACACTTTACATCCAGGCAGTTCACCACTGATTTACTGCTGGAAAGTATTACTGGACGGGGCCCTACCCACTGTAGAGTTCATACCCTGGCATTAACTTACTGCTGCAAGATCCAGCAGTATTTCACAGCTGTTTCTCCTGGAATGACTGAAATAGACAGGGGGTATTTGTGTTCAGGGGATAGTAATAGCTGGCTTGTCCCTTGGTCAGAAATAGCTGGCTGGAGCACACTTTCAAAAGGCAGGGTCCCTCACCCTCCCTGACTGAGTGCAAAGGCATATGGGATAGCCACGAGTCACGACTTTTGATTCTCAGCAAGAGACAGAGAAGGAGACTGTGGCGTCCTCGCTTATAGGGGAAATGGGTTTACTTTTAAACACTCTCTGTGTATATAAACTTGGTAGTTTTCTGCTGCCACAAGGAATTTAAATTCAAATTCTCTCTCTTTTGGTAGTATGACCTAGGGTCTGGGCACTTCAGAGGACTATGTGGCCCTGAGGAAATACTGTACTGATTTCTGGGATAAGTTTAAACAAACATTGATTTATTTAATAAAGAACAAAATAGGTTTCTGGTTATTTTGGACAGTTGCTGACAAAAGAAACAATAGGTTTCTGGTTATTTTGGACAGTTGTTGACAAAAGGAACGTAAATATAACTGGCAAAGTTTGGTGCTATAAACAGTCTCTCAAGCTCTAAACTCCACTCTGACAGGCTTATACACTCATACATATAGCCACACAGGCTAGTCTTTTTGTTTTATTCACACTGGATAGAATCAGCTCTCTTAGTCACACAGACAAAACTGTTGGTCTTATTCACACAGAATTAGACTCAGAATTCCATAGTCACACAGACTATATTCTCTCTTCAAGCTTCACACACAGAATCCTTCTAACTCTCAAGAGTCACACAGACTCTCTTCAAAACTCTTCCATACTTGTCTTTCTCATATCACAGAATCTCCTCATAGACACACACACAGAATCCTCTCAGACACCCCTCCTCCCACACTCTCAGTCAGCAGCCAATCAAATCACACTTGTCACCCTCTATCACTCTTCTCATATTACTGCATTCAAACTAAACATCTAAAGGAACACACACACCAAAACATGGAATCATTACAGAGACCCACAGACTTGATAGATAGTGCATGCAGTAGAGAAGGGGTTGTTTTGCTTCAGCTAACTACTGTTAGAAAAGGAAGGTGCGAACACACATTACGTTGAGAACAAAGGTATCCCTCATTCTAGGAAACCGACAACAGCATTCTCACCTCTCCAGCCATAAACTGCCCAAAGCCTGGAGGGAATGTCACAGATGCTATCAAGAAGGTTATAACCCCTGGATATACCAAGCGGCTAAAAAGAGAGAGGGAAAGAGAGAGTATAAATTCAGGTGGCTTGTAAAGCAAGCTGATCTCTTAACATGGAATACCACACCAGCAGGGCTGTGCGTGGGAGAACATTTGTCAATAAACATGGACTCCCCCAGCAAGGGGGGTGGGTGGGTATAATTTCTCTCCTGTGAACCACTGTGGGCTTGGAGGGCAAGATACTAAGGCACTGTAGTTTGCGTTGATTGTAAAATAAAGTCCTTGATGATAAGGCAAAGATTACACATCTCAGTCTGACCATAAAAATATTGAGATATATGTCTAGGTGATAGAGGTAGCAAGCAGTTACTAGATCAGTTTGATCTGTTTGACAGTCCTAGCTGTCATGCTAGTGATTAAGTGATTACAGCCAGGTGTTATACTAGCAGGTGTTCTCTATCAGGCATTGTTAGAGTTGGTAATTAATTCACCTTGTTAGTGATTGGCTGGGTTTAGTATATTAGCTATCAGCGTGATAAACTGGGTGGGGGACTTAGTCTTTCAAGCGAAGGCACGGTATGCTGTATGATAGCCTGTATATCTCTGTGTATATATTCACCATTATATCTATATAAATTTTCTGTGCACCTTCATCACCAGTCAGTCTCCATCTTCTTATTTACTACACCCAATAAAAAATGTAACCTGCCGGTTTGTGCAGCCTCAGTTTGCCTCAGGGCCATGCAGCAAAGGAAGGGGAGATTTGGCCCTTTAATCTTCACGCAGTTTCACAACGTAAAAACCACCCTCCTGCTTTGTTGGTTCGCATTTCAAAGCAGAAAAAGCATATCGTTTAAAACATGATTTCCCCCCCCCCTTGAAAAGAACAACAGCAGAGCAAGGATGTACAAATCTGAATGGAGGTTGAAGAGTTAAACTCCCTCTCCCTTCCCTGACTGAACCTGAGGCAGTAATGGCTGAGGCCAGCAGTTTGCAATTTATGGACAGATCTAGGTTCATGATCTTCATCTTATCTGAGCCCTAAGAAGATAAAGTGTTTTAACTGCAAGATGTTAAGATACTGATTAATTTAAGCCTAATTGATGCAAGTGCTTTATTTATTTATTTTAAATCCACTCTTCACAAATACGAACACACAGCTTACTCATCCTCCATGCTGTTACAATATAGATTACTTTTAGAGTGGGAAAGAAAATATTTTGCTAAGAGGAAAGACAAACACTTGAGGGACTACAGAAAACTCTGCTCGTAGATGATAAATCTTATCCTTTTGACTGGAAAGCCCAGTACCATATATGAGTTCCTGTCAACCAAATGGACTCTGCTGGTAGACACTAACAAATGTTGGAGATACCTTTTAAATGTATAAATGGTTTTGATAATTTATGCCAATAAAGGCTCACTTGACTTGACTTGACTTGCTGGAGATACCAGAGTTTGGAACTGGGACTGCCTGTACATAAAAGCACGTGCTATACCACCGAGGCACGCCTTCATTATTTCTATTGTGGCCCACACATGGATGTTCATCACTTGAGGACTGCAATTCAAGAGTTCATTTCTGTGTATGAAATGAGCCTTCAGAGATCCAATGCCACAAACAACCTCTGTATTGCTTCCCCACCACCCCAAACATGATGCTTTCCCACAGAACCACTTTACACATTCATGTGTAAGGTCCTTCTTGATTCAGCTCTCCTCGAAACCACAACGGACTGCCATTCATAAATAAGAGGCCCAAAGGCAATGTCTTCTTCAGATCTACGTATTGCAAGACCAGGAAATCCTTTTCTTTCTCTCTGTCTCTAGTAACGATTTAACGATTTAATGATTTAAACCAGTATGCTTGCTGCCCCACTCACCTCAAAGAGAATAACTGGTCGAGAGTGTACTTACTATTTGGTTAGGAAATTACTTAGACCCGTATGCCGTCGGACAGACAAAACCACCTGCCGATTGAAGTAAACAAAAAACGCTCCCAGGAACCCAGAGCAGATCCTACGGTGGAGGGGGAAATAATTAATCCAGTACTTTGCATGATTATTCTTAATTGGTTTTATACATATTGCTTTTTGGATAATCATAACATCCAACAAAAGAACAAAAGATCCCAACTTCCAGGTGGGACCTGGAGATCTCTGAGAATTACTAATCTCCACACTACAGAGATCTGTTCCCCTGGAGAAAATGGATGCTTTGGAGGGGTGGCCTCTGTGGCATTGCACCCCACTGAGGTCCCTGTCCTCCCCAGGCTCCATCCCCAAATCTCCAGGAGTTTCCCAAACTGGAGCTCGCAACCCTACTATATTAATGGCAGCCCTCGGGGGTCACTAGGCTTGGACCCGAGCCAAGTGGCCCCTGCACCACCCACAGGGGCCATGGGGATCCACGTGCTCCATGGCTCCAGTATACCTCAAGGGCTTCCAAGGCTAATTCCGGAGCCAAATAAATCCAGACTCTTCAGCTCTGTCTAGAGCAAATTAGGATGACCAAATGCCAAGGAGGACGGCCGGATTCCTAGGCCCTTCACCGTTGCATTCGAGACAGAACTTGGGGCAGGGGCAGTTTTCCGTGTGCAGAGTTGCAACAGGCCACCCCTGCAGAAACCCCCTCCTGCAAAACGTTTAGAATACAGCAGCCCTTTGCATCTGGTCCCCCTGGGGGAGAATCCTGGCAGGGTTTCTCATCAAACAAGCAGCCATGTGTTCCTGTTCTGAATCGAGTCATTATAAGACAGCTCGAAGCTCTGGGATTGTGGCTGGGATGGCGCCTGGGTACCACCGGAGAGCTCCGGCTTCCTTTCATATGCAGATTTCTCACTGGGGCTTGCCTCTTATCATTTCTGTACTTCAATTAGTTGAATCCCTGTGGACTTACCCTATGACAGCAAAGGCAGGCAGTTCCTGCAGGTCAAAAGGAAAGTCCATTCGGAAGTTCGTTCGGAACAGGGCCGTGATGGTGACTGCATGGGGGAAACAAAGACAGGAGGAATTATTGGCGGAGAGAAAGAGAGCATGCGAGGATTTGAAACGTGAGCTGCCGATGATGGGAGACATGGAGAGGGGGAGGCATGTGAAAAACATAAGATACAAAAGGAGCTGCGGTGGCTGAAATGGTTAAGACGCTGAACTGCAGGCTGTGGAAGGTCAGTAGTTCAGCAGTTCGAGACCCGAGTTGCCGCATGACGGAGTGAGCTCCCATCTCTAGTTCCAGCTCCTGCCAACCTAGCAGTTCGAAAGCAAGAAATTGCAAGTAGATAAATAGGTACCACTTCGGTGGGAAGGGAACAGCGTTCCGTGCGCCTTGGTGTTTAGTCAAGCCGGCCACATGACCACGGAAACATCTTTGGACAGTGCTGGCTCTTCGGCTTTGAAACGGAGATGAGCACCACAACCCTAGAGTCGGATTCGACTGGCTTTCGAGCAAGGGAACCTTTACCTTTACCTTTTTACCGATACAAAAAGAGCTCCGGAGGTCTTTCCTTTGGCACAACCTTGCTTTGAAGACTAGCGATATTGTTGATTTTCTGTGTTTTCGGGCTCGAGTGACGTCCCATGAGCCTCAACACCTCCTCACCAAGACAGATTTTTTTGCTATCATTGCCATGGCAATTTTCTGTGTTTTCGGGCTCGAGTGACGTCCCATGAGCCTCAACACCTCCTCGCCAGGGCAGATTTTTTTTGCTATCATTGCCATGGCAAAGTAATCCTGCCTCACAGGGCCAGTCTAGGAGTGCAAGCCACTCTAGTGGTATAATATAATATTTAGATTTGACATCTTTAACTCGGGGGGAAGAGCATCTGCTTCCCCTGCAGAAGGTCCCAGGTTCGATCAGGTAAAAAAAAATTGATCAGGTAATAGGTGCAGGGTCGCCAAGTCCCCCCGGAGGCAGGGAAACCCCCGCCCCAGAGGCCCGTTCCCCATCGCCGGTGGATTTGGCCCCGGGGGGAACCCCACCCCAACGTGCGCATCACCAGGAAGTGACGTTAGGACACCGGGCACGCTGGGGGCGGGGCCACGACCATCGGAGGGAAAACTTTA